CGCACAATAAGTCAGTATTATGAAATAAAGTGACGCAGTAATCCCACAAATAATACTAGAATTGCGTAGGAAGCTGAGGATAAGAGGAAAATGAAAACTATTAAAGTGTAGAAAAGAACAAAATTTGCCACCAGAAGGGAATGTTTCGGTCCATTAAGTCATAGACATTCCTTCCCACTACCATAGCTGAGCCTCGTCAGTACGACGGTTGAGGGAAACTGACAGTGAATTTGATGCCAATGGTAATTCAGCGCAGGAAAGAACCAATGAATCGTACACAGGGGCTAATTTGTCCGCAACAAGGACCAAATTCCCGGCAGAGAGGACAAGCGATGCTGCTAACCGGCCGGGGAAACACGAGAAGCCGGCGGAATGATTCTTTCCCAAGCAACAAAATGTTAAAACAAAATAATAACCGATAAAAGTAGAGCGCTAACCTGCACGTTGTTTTGCCGACGCCTCCCTTGCCACCCACAAAGATCCATTTCAGCGAGCCCTGGTCCAGCACATTCTGCAGCGTGGGCTCGTACACTTCAGAATCCGAAGCCGACGACATCCTGTGCCTGCAAAAGAACCAAAAAAAAAAAACAATCATCGCCTGACAGAAGTTTTGACGTGCTCAAAAAAGGAGCGCCACGCGATTCCAACGAGCACCAGAGGGCAAAATACTTTCCCTCAATGTGAACATAATTTTTGCTGTATGGAAGTGAAAACCGGAGCAACTCACACGCCCTTCTGGTAACCAAGAAACGCCTCGGGAGAGTGATAATTGCAAAAAAGCAAAATTCCTAAAGCTTACAAGATGTGGCACACAAAAATCGAGAAAGCAACGCCTTTGCACCGTAGCTTGCATGTTTCCCCGATCTCTAGAGATATGCAAGCGCGGCAACGAAAAGCTCCCTAGAGCAACAACAACCGCGCTGACAATCAAGCAGGCTGTAAGCAGCAGCTCAGAGGAAGCCACGGGGACGAAGAGGAGCCAAACGTGTCCATCCGAACCGGGGGGCCAATGTTGCCCCGTGATAACTTGTCACTACTGTTCACGAAAGTAACTTAAACTCGCAAAAATGTCCACTTGCCAAAATGCGAAAGAAAACCCCACCACTAATTTACACACACAACTTGCCATTGGAGACACGATTCTTACCAATTACAAATATTTCAACAGTTTCCATCCCTCCCCTTTTTCCACTTCGTTTTCCTTCCCTTCTTTTTCCATTTCATCATTTGCTACCTCTTAGCCTTAAATAGTAATGAAGCTGGGGAGGGCTTGAGGGAAAGAGGGGTGGAATATGACCAAAAAATGGGTCTGGAAGATAAAACAACTGATGTGGATGTCCTCTTTCTACCGAGTAAAAGCACTAGGGAACTCGGCTTTGCTAGTGCTGGTGAGGAGGGGAAGGTAGGGGGAGGGGGGGAGGAGGGAGGAGAGTCAATAGGAAGGAAGGAGGGAAAACTGGGAGGGAATGAGGAATAGTAGTAAATCTCTAGCAATCTGAATATGCGCCGAATCGATGCTCTACAAACGATACTGTTTTCCGCCCAGTCAGAAACCGTGATCCACGCGAATAACAAACATGCGGAAAATCTACAAACGACCACACGAGTACATCACCTCTCAGCGCCAAAACAACCTCATCTCACACAAAGCAACGACTAAAACTCGACTCGGCTCGGCCAGGGTAATAGTATGAATTGCGATTTCGACGGCACAACCCCACAGGGAGATTGGGACACCCAGTACATTTTGGTCTGACTTGGCTCGGCTGGCAGTAAGAAGAGGTAAAGTTGTCTGAGGGAGGAAGTTGCTGTTTTAGGCTCCAGGATTCATAACGAAGAGAAAACGGACAGAGTTATTGGCTGGAAAAGAGCTGGCACATTGCCCGAAGAAAGAAAATAGAAAAAAGAAACAAAAACTGGGTTTTTGTGGGGGGTTTTTTTTTGCACTGCAATGAAACTTGTTGTTGAGAATTTAGTAATTTTGGACACTACAGCTGAAGCTCCATGTGAATATAATAATTGGCCAGCGCGCGGGCTACCCGTGTGAAGATGCGTTTTTTTGCATAGCTCCCCGCAGATTTTTGTCGCTAACGATGCTGGTTTTTCTGGCAGATGCTTCTAACTAAAAGAATTTCAGACTGGCCGTCAGGACTGTAAGGCAACATCCCTTCAAAATCCCAGTCTTCTAGCTCCTCACTTTTCCGAATTAGCAACTTACTCGGAAGAAACTTTCAAGGGTCCGTACGCAGGTACCACGCTTACTCGCGGGCTGGGCTTGAACTCGTTAATACCTAGTTGGACGTGGAACATCCCCTAAGATTTCAGCGTTCTAGCTTCTCAGATCCCCGAGTTATGAACTTACCCCAAAAAAACTTTGGCGGGCCCGTACGCGGGTACCACGCGACTGATGGCGCCCACTTTGGGGATTGGGGTCGGCACGTGCATGTAGATTAAGTTCCTAAAATTTCAGCCCCGCAGCTTTTATAGGTCTTGAGATGAAAGTGCGTGACAGATGCACACACGGACACACAGAAAACCCCTCGTCAATATGCGTTTTTGCATTGCATAGCTGCAAAAAACGCATAAAAACGTTGTAATTCTGAGCTTCGCAATTAGATCCCCTATTCAAAACAAGTGCATACTGCCCGCTCGAGCTGAGGTGAGTTTTAGCAGTTGCCGAGGGAATTTCCGTTCGAAAGCATCTACTGGAACACGGCCGCGTAATGTGCGCACTTATTTCTGCGTTTAAATTTGGGTTGCGCAAGTTGCGGTATCGGTCTACTCTCTGGCTAATTTTCTCCCTCATCTCGCATGCACTCTCGGCCGAGTCAACTGTCGATGAAAACTGGTGAGATGAGCTGGTGAGAAGTGGAAAATCGAGATGTCGCTCAGATATCTCTTGCTGTATTGAACCAATTGGCCATCACAAGTCAGTCCTTTTAACACCTCACCCGCAGCACACAAGTAA